TTTTTTTGACTTATTATACTTTTCTACATGATATCATTAGGTTGATGCCTAATTATTGCGGATTTTTTTTCAAACAAATTTTATTCCAAAAAAAGACGGGAATATTTAACAACGAAATGTTCAAATAATTACTCCAAATCGTATTCACCATGTACGTCAAGCACTGCTTCCCATTTGCTAGGCAATCGGACCACGGACGAATAAGTTCCGATTCCCAGAGGCGATCCACGCCTTGGCATCGGCCATCAAGTCGTGCATTTCGTCGTAAACTGTTCACTAGCCAGTCTTTCAACGAACGGTTGTGTGGTAGTTCATAGGGGTTTCTGTCGGTGAATATGGCGGATCCATGAGCAAAGTCCTCTCCTTGATTGGCTTTAGTTGACTGTTCGCCGAAAACGTCGTCGAAAAGTTCATTGAGATCGCGAATTGACTCTTCCACCTTCCAACCCCTCTCGAAGAGTAGATCATAATATGGCGAACACGAAGATGATTTTCTAGACCCGTTATTATTACCAAAAGTGAGAAGATTACTCCTATCAAATCCCGAGTTCAATATTCAAATTGTATCGGTAGAGAAGAAGCCGCGAAAAAATCCGCAATAATTGTGCATCAACCTAGTATATATCTCTAGGGTTTTCCATGGGCGCGGAAAACCAGTTGCTAAACACTGCTTGAGATTAGAAGCAACTAAGACTTCCTAACGTTCCGTCATGCTAATGATTCTGATAAGATGTAAGTAGTAGCGCAACTGATTTCCAGCAGTCCCTCAGCTTGTGTTCGGCAGGAAGCACACAAGCATTTCTTGTATCGCTTAGTTTTGGCCTTCTTTATGCCGGTCAAGAAATTTTCAGTTAAATTCAGACGGAATGTTTACACGATTTCACGATTAAAATGAAAACAATCAGTCGATCCTTCTCAAGCATTTATGGTTTTTCATAGTTAACAAGAGGAGGGCTCGAGGAGTTGACTGCTGATGATTTCCAAAACACTTTTAAGTGCCAAAATCCAACTTATCATATTGCTTTTGCTTCTAAAGTGTTGGCTCTTTTGAGGGCGGATGTAAGTACGTGACACGTAACTACCTTACCATGAATGCGGTTCGCTGATCAAATGTGTCCCAGGTTCTGAACCCTCCTGTAAGATTCCTAGCAAAATTGCCATATGAAATGAAACTTATATTGCTATACCTGTTTTCGCAAGCTCTGTATCCCAAATTTGCCGGACTATTCAATGAATGGAGTTATGAAGGTGATTCCAGGTGAGCAGTCAGTGTCAGCGAACACAAAAGACATTGTTGTATCCATACCCTCAGGGGGTTGCATGGCGAAGTATGCCATTTACTTCCAAATTAGCCTATTTCGCACTTCCATTCGTTCGCTTGGGGGTGACCTCGTTTATTTGGTTTGCTGCTGACCTCGTGCCGGGGTCAGCCAAACCAATATCGAATTTGATGATTAGGAACTTACATTACATTTTGAAATGTGATAAAAATGAAGAGTTCCACGTAGTTCAGAATTCCGGAAGCTTTCATAAAGATACTACAAATGTGGTGATACAAGATACTACTTCATAGCTCCGTTCAGAGATTCGTTCGGTTAATTGCGAAAGCGGATTTGAGAACATCATCCGAGACACGTCTAGCAGTTTAAGTCTCATTTCGGAAGCCATTTCGACTTAGGACATTCCCTGGATAGAGAACTTTCTTGACTTACAGTGTCTTACTGGTCCCCTGCATTTCGGGGTGTACGCTATGTATCCATAGAGGTGCCGCTTTGATTCTGACAGAGCTGGGATGAATGGCGCATCTCTGAAAGTATAGTCAACCTTCTGAACTCCATTTTTTATTGTTACATCTTCAAAAGCCCTTTTCGCGGAATTTTCCATTTTTCTTAGGAATAGGCACTGTTTTTTCTTAGGAATAGACTTTGTGGGAAATGTACAGCTGTGGTTTTAACTAGCTTCAAATCTAAAACATACTTAGGAATTGGTTTATTTGAGGAAGAAGTCATACTCCAGAGGTGGGGTGTTCAATCTTAAAAGTACAAGCTCGGGTTTTTGAACTCCGATTCCGCAATATTGTTCTCTCTGCTTCTTGTCATCACAAATAGACAACACTGATGACAAAACTTCCCCTTTTGTCATCAATGTTGTTGATTTGTGATATTTTACTTTTGACAATTTGAGAACAGTGAACAAATCCTATGAGCCCTACCAAATGTCTCAGTGTGCCTAGTTGCTCTTACATCAAAAATTACTTATCATATAATGAAATGTAAATATAATGTTTGCTAAAAATAGGGCTTCATGCGGCTAGTCATAGGAATCGGTGGGCACATCTGAGGCAACTAGAATACATCTTGTGCCACCGTTCTCTAAATCTACAAAAAGGAAGTCAGGGTGAGCGCTAGGCGACAGCTTGCCACTCAATGTCCACGTGCAGCATGCGCTCCTTGATCCTTATTTTTTCCTATCAAAATTTATGTGCATACATCGTATGTTACGTCTTTGCTCGGAGAAATCAGCATTCAGCTTTTGATATGTTACAAAATGGCTCCAATAGTCAAAGAAGGCAGTGAAGAAGGGACGACAATATTCAATACTTCCTGTTTTAAGAAAAGTTTGGGTAAAGGCACAGTTTACGATAGTTCTGAGGTATCTATTTCAAGTGAAAAAATCTTAGCCATGGTGCAGGATAGTGCGAGGGTGGCGAAGAAAGCGCAGAAATTCTCGGATTCCAAGAATATAAGACTTCAAAAAGTAAAGCAAGAAAGAGTTGTTCAAGATAACCGTCTGGATGTCTCTCATTTAAGCATACTATTTCTCTCGTCATGTGAATGGTGCCGTTATAGCGAGGCCGGCACAACACGGCCACTTGAGGCGCCTGCGTCGGCCGAACTGGTCTTGGAGCCCTTATTGCCTCCTCTAGGCCGTTTTATGATCCGACAACGGCCCATGTACTATTCTTGGAGGCTACGGATTCATTCTAGCGGGAAATCTCCTAAACTATTTTTGTCGTGAACTGTGCCTTCAAAGTCCCGATGTCCCTACGATATCGGGACTTTGAAGGCACAGTTCACGACAAAAATCTGATGATATCGATCTAAGAGTACAACGACCAATGCCTCAAAAAGTAAATCGATGGTGAAAAGACCCTCTCCTAAATCGATGGAATCTATTCGACAAATATGAATGGTTGCCACAAAGTCCATCAAGATCATCTAAAAAGGAACCTCTTGAGAGGGTTCTCAAAGCTCATTACAACTTTTTTTCTGGCGAAAGTAACCTCAAGTGAAGCTGTTCACAGCTCCGCTGTTTCAGTAGGAGTATTTTCCTTCAACTTGGACTCTGGTATGAAGTTCAACCCGTTCTATTTCCAGTCGTCAGTATTTGGTGGCAAAATTTTCCTTACTTGCTTTATTGATAATATTTGGTTCCGAAGACATCAATCAATCACTCATTCAAGAAAAGTTTAACATTGTTCCAACATTTTCACATCAATTGTGCGAGTTAGCTTATGCGTTTCGAGTTTAGGCTAGGTGCATCTACCTACAGTCTTGCCAGGTCACGCTCCGTATTCTACGTGATATCCGAGCAAGGATTGAATCGTGGAGAGCCCTAACAGATTGGGTATGTTCACTCGTTTGATTATTATCTAAAATAATACTAGCAAGTTTGTTATTCATGTAATCATTCATCAGATGTGCGAACTGCTTGTCGAGAAGGTGCTGTCGTCATGCTTGGCTCCTCTTTCCGTGGGTGATGCTTTACGGCGAGTCTTTGAAGCTGTCGCGAGTGGTGTACTCCTCAAAAGTAGGTATTTGTTATTGGGCATTTTAGTTATTAACTGATAGTTAGAGTGAGTAGTATTCCGGGGGTTCCGGTCCTTTGTTCAAAAGGTTCGTGTTTTATTGATAGTTCTCGGTATTTATTGCTACTTCTGTGATACGGTAATATGAACTCGTTGTTGTAGCTGGTCCAGGCATTGGTGATCCATGTGAAAAAGAAGCGGTAGACGTCTTGGCGCCCCTCACTGGACAACAGAGAGAAGCAATCACTGCTAGTGCTCAGCATGCTCTTCGTCTAATAGCCTTCAATCAGTTGTATAAGGTTACTTTCAAAATATCTTTTCATCTCATCGTATATTTCTGCGCAAGAATTCTGATGTAAATGTTGTCCTTTTAGGTATTAGGGTTAGAGCGTTTGCCTGATGTGCGTCCACCGCTTACTGATAGAAAACGACCGATGGACACTGCAAGCGCTGCTGAAGGTGCGAATTTTTCACTGCTTATAAGTCTTCAAAGAAGTTTTAGATCTGCTCACAAGCTCTAACTGTATACTTATAAGTATGTAAAACGAGTCTCTTCTGTTCGGTAACGGATAAAAACGGCAGGAAAGTCAGCAACCTTGAAACAAAGCTCTTCTGGATATTGCAATTGAACAGGCTGTTACCTTGCTGTTAGTGCGTTGCTGTAACATTTGGACAAATAAGTGGAAATGTCTTGCCAAGTTACATATGTAGTATTAACAACAATCAAACGTAGACCTTTACCCTTTCCCAGCGAGGTAGGGTACATTAGTGTGGTGATGTTCTTTTTATATTTGCTAGTCTGAAGGCTGCATGATTAGTTACGCTTTCGATCACATATTAGTAGCCAAGCGCTGAAATACGTCATCCTACATCGAAGCAGTCGCAGGACCTGGTCAATGTTAACGTTTGTTGCCTAGTTTAATAATTTTCAATTTTTAATCTATCTTGTTTTGTGACTAAATGCCCATCCATTGGTCACTTCGTATCAGGTCATTCAGCTTAATAACTTCATGTCAGTCTGGGTGATTGATTCCTTGGTCTAACTGTATATCATATCACTGGCGCTTCTGACAGTCGAATTAAGACCGGCTTCGTTTCAAGGTCTCTGAGTGTTTGATTGCTCATTTTCAGAAAGGACCTTTCATATATTTGAGTAGTGTGAACACAAGCTTCGATCAGAATAAGTAGTTGATGGACTGCTCACCATGGATTTGTGTATAGGTGAGAAACTAAGGAAAGGCGCCCACATAAGTTGTTCCTGGGTGTGGTGCGTTAGCAACGAAATGGTCGCGTGGCGGTGATAGGGGCGTCGCGCACGAAGGATTGTAGCAGGATGCAGCAGTAGGTAAGAAATACAAGAACACAAGTACTGCTAGTAGAATTATGCACAAAATAATGATCGCATATCGATCGAGCTGTCTGAAGAACGTTAGAGCTGTAATAACGGCGAATGAGTGGTCCGCTACAGCAGCGTGCGGCAAATCGATTACCCAANTGTTACAAAATGGCTCCAATAGTCAAAGAAGGCAGTGAAGAAGGGACGACAATATTCAATACTTCCTGTTTTAATAAAAGTTTGGGTAAAGGCACAGTTCACGATAGTTCTGAGGTATCTATTTCAAGTGAAAAAATGGTAGCCATGGTGCGGGATAGTGCGAGGGTGACGAAGAAAGCGCGGAAATTCTCGGATTCCAAGAATTTAAGACTTCAAAAAGTAAAACAAGAAAGAGTTGTTCGAGATAGCCGTCTGAATGTCTCTCATTTAAGCATACTATTTCTCTCGTCATGTGAATGGTACCGTTATAGCGAGGCCGGCACAACTCGGCCACTTGAAGTGTCTGCGTCGGCCGAACTGGTCTTGGAGCCCTTATTGCCTNCTAGTAGAATTATGCACAAAATAATGATCGCATATCGATCGAGCTGTCTGAAGAACGTTAGAGCTGTAATAACGGCGAATGAGTGGTCCGCTACAGCAGCGTGCGGCAAATCGATTACCCAAAATCGTTCCTAACGCCCGTCTCACGTTGTTCCTTCCTCAACCGTTCATGTCTGTCTATTCCGAGCAAGGTCAGCTGCCCTTTTTCCACCGCGGCATCTTTGATATGGGAAATCTCAGTAAAAGCGAAAGCATCTATAGGTTATTGATGCGAGGCTGCAGGCATCCTTGGCACAGCGCTCCGACTGGGCCTCGCTTCCAGTCGTCAATTTGAAAATGGACAAATGTGTTGTCTCGATCCAAGTGAAAGATTGTCATTTATATCTTGGATAAGGCGTTTTTATTCTAGACGTGAAGAAAGACAAGAAGGAAGGAGAAAACGGAAATGCCGAAACCGTCAATGCAGCTGTAGCTATTAAAATGGAAGTGTGACTGACCCGAAATGTTGATAATCCCTTATGTTCCCAACTTCTTTGTTTCAGTTGTTCCTAATTTATATCTGTTTCTTGTCTAGAAAAGCAGGGCGATGTCTGAGTGTTCAAGATGAAATCTGTCATTGTCCGATCTGATTGTTTAAAGTTAGTGTAGTTGCAGTTGTATTTCCTGAATATTTGTTGAAGACTATTCGTTTATAGAATGTGAAACACAACTATTATTAATACTGTTAATGATGATGTTGGTTGATGTGAAGTAAAACTGTTACCAGTACTTTTTTACCCATGTTTCGCGAGTATCGGGTGAAGATGGGGATTAGTCAGCTGCTGTCGAAGAGCCTAGCTGGCGGGCATCGATCGAAAATGAGCAAGCACGGCGGTTGTGCAAGTGTGTCCATCTCAACATCCTTTCGTCGAATTTAATTTTTGTTTGCTTGTATCGGTAGGGTTAAATAGGAGTCATCATTTATGAGACTTATAAGGCAATTTTTGATGCTTATGAATTTGCCCGCAACCCCTTTTGTATCGTGAGTTAAGGGTTGAATGGTTCAGTTCCGCTTTTCACAATCAATAAGTCAAGTTTAGGGTAGAATGTATATGTAGGAATCCTCGAGTGGCCGTGCCCAACGGCTGTTGAATTGGGAGGTCAGTTTTAAGTCGCAGAGTGTTGTTTATCAGGAACAGATTGCTGTAGTCTCTACCAGTATTGTATTGGTATAGTACTCCGCTTATGATCTTCAGGATATTCGGAAGAAGTGAGAGGTTGCTTTCTGAGTTTTGCTACTCATAAATCCATCTTATTCCTCATTCGGGCAAAATCTTTACTCTAGCTAATTTTCGAATTAATCCTTCAAATCTGTGTCCCATAACCTAGCGTCCTAACAACATTCAAGTTCTAAGTGTGTATATGGTCGATTACTATCAATTATTTTTAAACCTGCATTGAATTATCCTTATTCTATGTAGTTGGGTTGCTTCTATCATAACATTTAGTCGATTCACTTTTTTACTTCAACTCGGTAAACTCAGGGGCCAAATTTCAAGGGAAGGACTTAAATTTGAGTTTCTGTGTTTTATCGACTTCCATTTTTTGTACATCCTTAAATTTTTAATGGGAAACACTTTCATTATCTTACATGAAGATCCCCAGATCGTATAAACCAGCAATTTGGTGTATCGTATTTGTTGGGATGGGAGGTGTGACTAGGCCAGCCCACAGAATGCACCCAGGCCTGCCAAGCATAATCTGTATCAACTGTCATTTCGTCGTTGGACATCGATTTCCTGATTCCCTTGCTTTGGGTGTATCAGCAAACTTCGAGCATTCTCGTTTCCAAAGCGAACTGAATGACGCTGACTGCACGATAGTCCTGCTGACAAGTCTCTTCAGTCTAAGGCGTATATCAACGCCCAGTGCTGAAGGGTTGTGTGCGGAGCGGTTCGTTGTCTTCTAACCATTCCTTCGATATCGATATATCCATCCTCCCCACGCCACGCGTCCTTTTGCACACCTCCGGCGCTAGATCGCTCATCATGCTGAATTCTCGTTCTAAATAGACGTAACTAGAGCATTCAAGCATATTACATAAAGCATTTAGGGGTATTGTTATCGTTGGTTCAGCATAATCGGGGCACCAGTTGTCCATCCGATACTATGAGTATCGCCTTCCTAAGGCTTAGTCGCGAGTCGTCCATTGTAAAGCGTTGCCGATTTACGCCATCTCCCTTTTTGCTAGCTCGATGTTCAGTATTTAAAGCACGATGTCTTTGCAAAGCGGTGATGTAAGTAACGGCCGTCGACATCCACTCTCAGATTTCCCCATTTCAGATGAGGCATGATGTTTTTGGAAGCGGCCCTGAAAGGTTCAGACGAAAAGGTATCGTCCTGTCGCACCCCTCTCTCCACGTTCACAACGACTTCAATGGCGAAACCGTTCGTGAAGTATCCGTAAAGCTCACGAGCTTCCTTACGTATTGAGTCGGACACCATGGTTGCCCAGGGCTTCTGTCCCGACGGTATCAAAGGGTTTCTTCGACTCGATGAACGTAAGACATAACAGCATTTTGTACTTTCGTGATACTTCAATGAGCCTTGTAAGAGTGTGGATATGATGGATTGTACTGAACCCTCTCCAAAGCCCTGCTTGCTCGCATGGCTGTCCTTCGTCTAATATTCTGAAAGCCCTTTAAAGATTTCTCGTGTGAAAAGTTTATAGATTACAGAAAGCAGGCGAATGGGGCGGCAGTTGCGAATCGTGTCTGGATCCCTTTCTTATAGAACAACTCAGCCTTGCTATAATAGTTCTCCACTTAGACGGCATTTTGCATTCTGAATGGTATCGCGTGGAAAGATGGGCCAGAGTTTTGACGATAACTATGTTGGAGCTCTTTAGATGTTCTGGATTAATCCTGTCGGGACTGAGCGCTGTACATTTTTTTCATCGACGTGATGGCATATCGAGTTACAGGAGGGAGTACTGAAGTAGCGACATTTGAAATTGTAGATGACCTACTTCATTGCCTTTGGAGATTCACTAATGCTCCATCAGCACGACGGAGGGAGGCCATCTTGGTTTTGTACACTGCTCCTCTTCTTTCCTTCGTAACTTCCCCTGCCGTTTCTGTGCATGGCTTCGCAAGTTCAAAAGTTACTTGATGGTTGGCTGTAGTTATCGCAATTCCACGCTGACGAATCCGCTCGAGAGTCTCCGAAGGTAGGGGTCCCTGGCAAATTGTAGACTTACCGTTTCCCTGGCACTTGAGGATCGCAAGGAAAGCGAAATGATGCGATTGATGATGGCCTTAGGGTGTGTGTTCCTTCACTCAGCGGCTCTCTTTCCACGCATAAGAAAGTAGAATCTAACGAAGTGAAACATGATAGACCGATTTCAAGAAAGGTTGTAACATAAGTTCGTAGAGTTTTTCACAAAGATTTCTCTGAACAAAAAGCAATAATTGCAATAATAAATCATTAAATAAGTTATTATAATAATCAGCCAATACACGAATTGTTTGGCGACCATCTTCTTTCAATAGTGCCTTCAGACGCTCTTGGTCGAATTCTACAGGTCGTCCGCTTCGAGGCATGTCTTCAAGTTCAAAGTCGCCTATTTCAAGTTTTGCGAACCATTTTTGTGCAGTAGACACATCTATGTAAGACACCTTCCCTGTACACACTGCATATCTCCCGAGCTGTTTCGGCAAGAAAAGCAGATGTCGAAAATGCTGATTTTTTCCTCCTAGATATTCCATTTCTGAGCCAGAAAAAAGACGAACAATTAAACTCCCCAAAAAAACAGATAGAACAGTTTTGTAGAGGAGAAAAAGCTCTTTCGAATGAATGTATACACTTTGCTGAATAACAAAACAAAATGTTGCAAAATAACTCTAACGCAAAACTCTACGAACTTATGTTAC